ACAACAGCAGTGACTTTACATGAGGAAAGAGATTGCTTTTTATAGTTAATGAGATGAAACTTGAAAATGTCATCCTTATTTTAGGCCATGAAGATTTCCAACTCCACTTTTTGAAGGCCCTGCATGCCCCCATATATATATATATATATACACACACACTCCGATTTGAGCATACAACTTGTTAAATTCATGTGACTTCACAAGGATAGCTGGAGCAACATTTTCCACCCAAGTAGGGCTTTAAATCCAAAGCTAATTTCAAGTGTGATCTTACAATTGAAAATTCCCCATTGGCTTCTGCATATTGCATGGTAGAAAACTCTTAAAAAAAAATCACTTGAAGCAAAGTAGTTTTAAAGAAACTGTATGATCTTCAACAATGCTGAGAAGATTCTCACTGAATTAAAATAACTTTCCACTTGTCCTTTCCACAAAGCCATTGGAAACATCCACACCAAGAGCACCCATAGCCTTTCACAAGGCATTTGTGACTGGCCACAGTGACCCCTTTGGAAGCTGCCCCACACTGCCTGGTTCTCTAATGTGGTTCAGGTCTGGTGACTACAAAGTGCCCTGAGAAAAGGGCAGGGACACAGAGCTTTGCAGTTCACAAAGGAGTACCTATGGCTACAACATCCAGACCCCTTGCCCCTTCAATCCAATATGCTTAAGAGGGGAGAAAGGAAGGAAAAGTCATTTTACAGTGTGAACTCCTGGACCCACACAGCCCAATATCTTAATGGCTTGTGACCAGAGTCACAGACGAGATTGACAGCCAGTCAATGAACTGATGAATACACATCTCATAAGCACTTCATTTTAGCTACCCATGCAGAGGGCATTCTGCCTTTATACACATACATTCCAAATTCCCAATTATCTCCTGCTTAATTACTTTGGGCTCAGAGCACTTTACAAAGGAACCAACTATCATTATAAACATTTCAGATACAAAAGAATTGAGGCATAGTGGTATTACTTGCTGCAAGTTATTGTACTCATTCACACTCAAGGTCAGTAGCAGGTAGAAGAAAGCTCTCATCTTAAATATCAAGGCAGATCTATATTCAGTAAACTATAAGGTGTCTCAAAATGCAAAGAATCCTTTCCTGGGCAAGAGCATTTAATCTTACCTTTCACTTTACAGTGTGAAATTTTACTATATTGACTCACTGACCAGTGAGTTTTACAGATTCTACCTTAAAAACATGTTCAGGTTTTTTCAAAGGATTAAGCCAAGATAACAAGTGTTTCCTCAAAAATCTACATCAGATGTTTAGAAGTGGGCAGATGAATACACATGTCTTCTCATTTTTTTTTTTATTATTATTATTCTGCCCTAATTAGGGCCTATTGCAGAACCTTCATAATGCTGCAACTTTATTCTGGTCAAATTAAGACTTTATTTGTCCTTTTTGCTTTCAGCTTAAAGGTATTAAAAACCTGGAAAGTTGCGAGTTTCGCAAAGTGCTTCCAATAACTTGAGGTTCAATGACAAAACGTTCAGAGGCACTTTTTTGCACTGGGCAATTTGATGTACAAAAGGAATAAATGAAACTATCTCCCTTTGTAGAACTGAAGTGTTTTTACTAGCTGCATGTCCAATTATGAGAGTCAGGCCTGAATTCAACAAGCTAAACGAAATGAATTTACTACTTCGTCCAGCTCAGGTGGCAAGGAGGCCTCCAACAAAATTACTAGGACAACTAGTGAATAGCAATGAAATTAGTACTGCAACAGATTGCATTCCTGGCACTGGGGTTTGCATTTCTCTTTTTTTGCCATTTAAGTCTTCCCTCTCTTCTACTAGGCTCAGGAGAAATGGGAAGCAACCTCCAAACAAGTTAAAAAATGGAAAGAAACACAGCTTGCAAGTTTATATTGTAATAATAGACTCATATCAATTACAAGACAAATTGCAGCAGACAAGGAAAGAGACAGCTCAATCTGTTACCAAATCCTTCTAACAGCTGCATGAAGAGCTTGGCCGTTTCACCCATAAATCTTCCTTTTAAGTTTTATTGCTCTTTGTGCAGGTAAAATAATAAAACCAGAGTCAAGCATACAATGGATGCAGTTAATACATTCCTAGTCAGAATTTCTTGTATTTTGTTACAGGAATCATAACCCATTCAGCATCTAACCAAAAGTAACCTACAGATTAATAAAACAAATATTTTATCTGTAGAAAGTCATCTGATTTGATCATGTCAATTTGAATAATAGTCTCTATTACAGACCACTGTGATACTCTGGGCTATCTTAAGTCATTATCAACAATCCCGTAACTTTCCATGGGACAGACTGATGGATGCATATGAACAACTTGATTAGTAGGTTGAGCTACTAAATCAACAGTATACGCAAAAACAACAAACAACCCAGATTAAGAGTTGATTCCATTTGTAAGGGTGAGCATGTTAACTCGTTCCTCTTCTGTAAGAGTTTCCTGTCTTCTTCTACAGATGGGAGCTTTTAAGCAGGAGGCTGCCTGGAGCCCCTGCAGACCTTGGTGATTAGCCATCAACACAAAAAGGCACAATGACAAGCAGCAAAACTTGAGGAGGAGAATAGAATGCAAGTATGTTTGACACACAAGGGTGTGCAAGAGCTTTGCTCAATGAGAGAGCATACAGCTACACAACACCAGTGGTTCCTTCTGTCAGAAACAGCATGGGAGGCCACGAGCCCCCATGCAGCAAGATCACAAGTCATTACAAGCCCATTTCTGTAGAGCACAGAGGCAACTCTCTGCAGGAAAGGGAGGCCTGCAGCCTCATACCCAGCTTGGAGGTTCTCTCCCCTCACATAAATTCTGTGAGGGTGCCCCAGTGTCACAATCAAAGGGTGTGGGATACAGCCTAGTAGTTCACAGAACCAGGAATTATATCCTTGTACCAAAGACCAACCCTCTGACAGAACCATGCATCGTTACACATTCCCTTTCATCAACACATTTTCTAGTACATTAGTAAATATATTTTAAGGCTGTAAACCAGTGATCTGGCTGATACACACCTGTTTCACTAAATCCTTAAAAAGGGGATGATAAAGATTATCTTTTGAGACAAACACAAGAAAAATAGTTGATGTTAGAGTAAGGTTGCAAATGCAAGTGGGGAAGGTAGTATAGACGAGGTTTCATTGCTCTTGAAAAAGAAAAACTCCACAATATTGCCATTAACACATTCCCTTTAAATGCAAACTACTTAGTGGAGCAATATTCCAGCATCAGTCAGAAAAAAATACAGCTAAGGCTTTTTTCTTTTCAAAAAAATATAATGCAAACCTAAAGCACCTGATATTGAAGGCTCCTGCAATGGTTAGAGGGACTTGCACTTTAAATTGCCTTGCTTCTCTTAGCAGCCAAAGCCTTAATATTCTTTCTGAAAGCAGGTTTTTTCCCTTCAGAACTTAATTTATAAACTCCCTCCTGCCAGACTGAGATAGCCACGACTGCAAACCCCCAAAAGTGATGACTACTGGGATTCCATTCAAACCTTAAGGAATCAATAGAAAGCAGACAAACCACCAAGATAGTTTCAGCCAGTCGCAAAGAGCAAAAGCCACAGGATACCTCATGTTGCTCTTACCTTCCTGTGGAAGGCAGGCAGCACAATCTCACTGCAGTCTGCAAACCCAACCTCTGCTCTCCACATGCTGCACCCACACAGCAGCCTGGGGAATGCTTTAGCACTGCAGCCATTTGCAGACCACCAGTGCTTTGGAGGCTGCAGTTATGAATTGATTGCAATATTTCTAGCATGCAGAAGACTAATGAAAACAGTTGATTTTGCTAAAACTCATGCTTATAATACGGGCTCCTTAGAAAGCCTAAGCAAACCTGCTTACCTTGGAGCAGCAGCATTACTGTAGAGCCAGTAACAAAGCAAACCTCACTGGTATAACTAGGCATAAACCAATGCAAACTTGTGCATTTCTACACTGCAAGCAGAAGCAATTGCAGCATCACCCTTTTAAGTCTGCTTATTCAACTAGCAACATCTGAAGACAGGCTTTACCACTGATGACAGCAGAAGTTATTGCAAAATGCTGACCATTTTAATATTTTTTTTTTTTTACTTTACCAATGAAAATTATCACCTATGACCAGGCTTTGATGAAAACCAATCTGTTGTCACATTTGTGGGTTTTTGTTGCGTGCAAGAATTAAAACCTGCATTTCTTTGAATGAAACTCCAATTACTTCTTTTAAAACTAAAGTTATTGTTTGATTAACAAAAAGCAGTACTTGGTCCCATTAACAGCCCACTCTAAATGCCTGATTTTCTTTTTCCTTTCAAAAAGGACACAGATAAAACTCCATGGTTTGAGGCTTACACAGTATGTGATATTATTAGCTCACATGAGTTACAAGGAACCCCATTGTGGGTTACTAGTTTGTGAGGCAGCAAGCAGATTCCCACAGACAGGGCAATACACCGGGTCACACAGAACAATCTGCAATCTGGTCTTCTTACTTTCAGATGCCCTAGAAAAGCATCAGGAGTACATTGGGTTCACTGATACCCTCCTTACATGCTCCCCGTTTCTGACATCTGCTCATTTACCTGTGCGAGGCTAAAGGCAGTGCTGAGAGCACCTGGGCAAGCTCAGGAGCAGGCAGGATGAAGCCATTCCCTTTGACACAGGGGATTCACAGCACTGCTCTCTGCAGAAACTCAACCCCTATCAACCAGCTTAAGTTTTTACATCGCTTTGTAAAAATTAATACAAAAAGCAGCAAATGATGGGGAAACACACAAGCATTGCCACACAGCCAGTTAAAGCGCACAGATGTTGCTTCAATTTCAAGCTAATATTTAATTATTGGTATTTAATAAGTTGTTAAATATGCATTTCATCCAAACACAAGTGTGAAAAGTGCAATTCCCAGCAGACGTATTTGAAGCAGTTGCTATTGGACTCACCATACTGGCAGCGGGGACCCTGGAATCCCGCGGGACACTGGCACATCCGCGATGCTGCTCCCAAGCACTTCCCTCCGTTGAAGCAAGTGCCAGCGGCGCACAGGGCTAGTGCACACAAGCAGAAGGAAACAGCTTTGGGGGGCTTGGACTCAACAGAGCCACCTTTTCATACCACAGTTCTGCTCTACCAAGGACTTTCAAGGCAATCAAGAAAAACCCAGTTTGATTTTATTAAACCAAGTGGATTGCAAAAGATTTGTTATTAGAGTTATAAATGATGCTAGAATAGTATCTTGGCCTGAGATTAAACCTCAGTAAAAATGAGTTAAATGCAGTTTAACTTCAGGATGCTGCAGAGGCAGAACAGTTAGATTGGCCTAAAGATACCCTAAAGATACTACCTGAGTCCAGAATGGCAGAAAAAAATTAATTGCTGGAGAAAAATAGAGCTGTTTAGAAAACACTGGTTCACTAAAAGAGGTTATAGATGTCCATGGGAGTTACATTACTTCTCATCTTATCCTACAAGGCAGAATGTTTACTTATAGTAATACTCCACATATCTGAGCAAAATTCACACTGACTGAATATACCAAATACAACAGAATAGATTAATCCCTTTCATGCTTTAAATGATGGAAAGCAAGCATGCACTGCTCTTGCAAGGACAAAATAATTTGTTATCACTGATGTTCAAATATTCTAGATTTGTGTTAAGACATATGTTTATAAACTGTATTTTAATACCAGGCTTTTCCAGCAGAAGAGGTACACTAGCGTTCATACTAAAACAAACAGCTGTACCTCACAGGCTTGTTTCTTTGGCTCCTTATTAATATAAAAATCATACAAGCAAGCTCAAAATACAGTCCTTAAGCTGGTATAAAGATTAAATCACACAGAAACACATGCTAACTTTCACACAGAAGACAGTTACTAACAAAACAGTAACAAAACCAGAGAACAGATTGTTATCACACACTTCCATGTCCTGTTAGCACTGGCTACAGTGCTTCCTTATTTAAATTAAATTCCATTTTAGAAGAACATCCCATCATGATTAAAAGCTACTAATAGTAGCAGGTTTTCCTCAGATAAATAACCTTAGGGTAGAAATAAGACAATTACTTCAACCATAACATCAACAGTGAAAAAGCCAAAACCAGTCAGACTTTGCAGTGAGTGCCAGGTCCAAAGAGTGCATTAGAGCCTCCTTATTCTCTCTAATTTGGATAACAGCACTAAATTAAGTTAGCCTGTCAAAGTAAGACTGGCCTAAGAATGCTTCAACAACTTAATCAAAACCAGATCATCTACTGTTTAGCCTAGAATTAGAGATGCTCTGTACTTTTGCATGCAACAATTTTTAGAAAACCCTCTCACCCTCAATGGAGTACTATTCCTTATAACTGGGAAAATCCCAGTATGAACCATAAGATGCAAAATCCATGTTTTTAAGAACAAAATTCATTTAGATAGGATAAGACCAAACCTATGATTCTCTTAGGCCTTGCCATCAAGTTTTGCTACCAACTTACAGTGCAAGCAGCCAGGTTCACTGCCTTGCTGGACCCATCCAGGGCAGCATTTATAGACAGTCTGAGGCTCCATTCTGTATATCTGCTTGTAAACTGTGTAGTATCCAGACCTGGGAAGAGAACAGAGCAGTTACAACTCCCGTTCAGCTTATCCACATCTCATCAGTTTACCACATTTTTTTCCACATTTACCACATTTTTTCAAACTCTGCCAGTAGTTCCTATTTATAAACAAAGCAAATACTAAATGCCTCGTGATAACTTTCAAAAGCTCTAATTCAGGCATGTCCACATACACTCCAGTGACTATTCAGACCAGAGATAAAGGCAATGGCAATCCATTTGCACAGTGAGTTCTTCTAGTGTTTTGAGAGTCTGATCTTCCAACACTTCTAAACATAAGGCATAAAATGGACCCTTTCAGTTTTCGAAACAGGTGAGTTAGGCACCTGTACATCCCCTCAAACAACAGGATCAGTTACTGATAGTTAAGAAATGTTTGACTTTGGGTATTAGATCACAAGACATTAGTAAGATGAGCAAAAGAAGAAAACGTGGCTTTTTGAGCAATTAAACCAAATACAGTCTTGAAAAGACATGAGCTATCCTTAAATAGCTATTACATGTATTCCTAGGGGTAAAACAGTTCACAAGCGCATAAAATCCTTGTATTCAGTTCCATTAACAGAATCCACGTGTAGCTTACCTTCTCTCGTAGCCCACGCACCACCGCCGCCCCGGGCAGCCCTGCTTCCACATCCTGACAGCGCGGCTGAACGCCTGGACACAGGGCTGCTGCTGCCCCACCAGCACCAGCTCCAGCTCCGGGCAGACGTTTGGCCTTTAGGGAGAGAAAAGGAGAGGAAAAACAGGTTATTTCTAACACTGAATTTTACAAGTCTTACACAGGCACAAAGCTAAGTTATGAAGTAGTTCAAAATGGATTTTATATTGCTGTTTAAAAATATCGCAACTCTGCAATTTTTTCCACTCTGAACTGATCACAAACAGCTCATGTAAGAATATAGCAGTCAGACACCTGAATAGCATGATCTGATGATGTCGGAATGGCAACTGTCCCACAAACTTTAATTGAGCCAAGATTTCATTAGTGTATTGGCTGTCTAAGCATGAACAGATTTCCAATAGCAATTTAACATGAGCAGAATAAAAATTACTGGCCTCTGAGCAGCTAGGTTAGCAAAATGTGATTGCACTTTGTTCCCAGAAAGTGAACTGCCTCATTCGGAGCAGGATTTGACTGAAGACTCCACAGACCCTTGGTTGCCTGTGGGTGAGAGGAGCCCAGAAATCCCTATGGACACAACCCTGACCAAAGACAGGGCCTCACAAGCCAAACAGCAGATGAGCACAAGGTGAGAGCCTGGGATGATGCACAGAGCTCTGGAAACCAGACAAGACTCTACCCAAGGCAGTCCAAGCTCTGCCACTGACTCAAGTGGAGACAAGACTTTCATCCGTGTTTTTGCTGGGGAAGCAGAGCCTGTAGGATGTCCTGCTGCTATAAGCTCCCCCGGGCACACAGCATAACAGAGGAAGCATGCGTGTTCTCTGCTGATTATTTCTGAAATAACGAGATGAAATAAGAAGTGTTGTGTGTAGGATGATCTGCTCATCCTGCTGCCAAGCCCTAGCTACAAAAACGCTGACTTCTAGCAGGTGTCATGGGGCAGCACTAAGTTAAGCACACCCCGTATTGATGGTTTTGCCAGGTCCTCAGCCACATTCCCACCCTGCTGTCCTGGTACAAGGCCCAAAGTGCCGCACACCAGAGAAGCCTGCAAAAGAAGCTGAACATCTGACTACAACCAGAGCTGCCTCTCCAAATTTACAGGAATTTGGTGATGCTTAGAGTAGTTAATAACTACACTGACAAACTGTAAAGTCATTAGCTCTCCAAAGCACCTGTTCTAGCTGTTATAATGATGATTTGCACATTTAAGCCTCACCAACTTGAACAGTGGGAGACCTGGATGCTTTTGTACCTTTTCTGGTAAGTGGCAAGCAACACTTAGCAGTGTCACATCAGCTCCCAGAGGTTCTACAAGTTTCCCATTCAGAGAGACCAGGCAGGCTGGGTAGCAAGAGGAAGATGTACATGCACCCACCTTCCTCCTCAACTGACAGCACAGGGATCAACAGCAGGCTATGGCAAAAAACATTCTTTTTGCATTAATAAGATAGGTAACAGTTATAACCCAACAGCTGCCTGCTGTTAAAATTATTGGCTACTTTGAATATTAATTCCTCATTCAGAATTTACAGAGCTTTATCTCAGGGGTTCAAAGCACTTCACAGCTCCCTGCTATGGCTGAACACTGCACAAAGTAGCCTTGCTTTAATAAAAACACAATATATCTGCCCGTCATCTGCAGATCTTAAGGTAGTTTACAAACATCATCAAAATTAAACTCATGCAGAACAGGAAATACTACAAGGATTGTTTTTACTGATGAGTTAGATACCTGGAAGACGACTTGCATGCCCAAAACAGCAAATAAAACAAAATCCCAAGAATAGGAGTATTCCCCAATGTCCACTTCAGTTAAGGACTACTTCATACTAGAAAAACCTTATATTGACAGAAACTTTTCCAGAGTTGGAGCCATCTCTGCCTGAGTTTTGCAAAGGCTGCCATCCCTCAGCTCCCTACACCACAAAACACATCTGGAAGAGACTGTCCAAAAAGCAGGATACAAAAATGTAAAACAACCTCTATTGTACATATCTGTGTGGCAGCACATAATAGGCTTCAATGAATGCACTCAGGGTCCCCCAGGCAGCACCAATGTCTCAAACAACTTGACCAAAATAAACTCAGACAATCAGCAAGGTGCAGAAACACCCAAGTGCCACTGATGTGGGTTCTCCCTCATGCCCTCCCCTGCAAGGCCAACCACCCTGTGGCCCCTCAGGTCTCCTCTTTGCCAGACAAGACTCCTGCTCATGCTCTCCACTTCACCATACACCCACAGCATCCCTTTGCCACATCCCTGTTTTGCATTCTTGGGGTTCACCCAGCTGCCAGTGCCAACATAATGAAGGCAGGCAGAGACAGCAGCAAAATCCATGTCCCACTGCTCCTGGAGGAACATAAATCAACCCTACCTGTGTGCTCCAGGACCATCTCCATCACTTACCACCCCTTCCCTCTTGAATTACCTCCCCATTTAACACACTTAAGTCTACAGCAATTGTTCCCAGACCATTCTCAGATCCAAGTATCAAGTTTCAGATGCAAAAAGCCTTTGCATGCCCCAAAACCTGTCTGTTCCCCCTCGGAGTCAGCAGGTCTAATAAAACCCTCACCTTACCTGCAACCCTGTCCCACTTAGCCAGCCTTTTAAACAGACTCCCTCCAGTGAATAGAACATCATGCACTGATAATTCATGCATTTCTCCTTTTATTAGAATTGTCTAAAACTTTCCAGATAAAGCTACATTCATCCACACTGCTCTGCCATAAATAAAAGAAGCTGACAATTGTTGTAATGACATCCCGAGCCCGTCTATAAATTCTTACTCGTGTGAATTTGCCAGGTTTCCAGGAATAGCTGTATTGACTTGTGCGATACAGCTAATAGGAACAAATAGCACTCACACAGAATAAAGGAGGGCAGCGGCAAAAAGTCATATGTTTATTAGGATTTATTCAGAGCAAGTCAGTCCTCCTAGATGCCCTTGGGATAATTTAAAGGCAGATATCAAAACCTCTGCTACATTATAATTAAATTGCAGCAATTGCATAACATGGAATCCTGTGCTGGGCAGAACTAGCAAATAAAATGCTCCCTCCCCAGCATCCAGCCATGTTCACAACCCTGCCGCCACTCAGCACACCAATTTTCAGCCATTTGACTCATTCTCACACCTTAAGACCAGGTTCTTGAACAACCATATAATTATGGAGCAGTTGTGTTGCATCTCTCCCCTGACTAGAGGATATTTCATCCCTTAGGACTAAAATAGAGCTTTAAGCAGGTGCAACAGCACATTTAGAAAGCTCCGGTTTTACTGCCACATGCTTTGCTTTCAGAAAATATTTCTTAATGGGAGCTTAAGTGTTAAAACAAAAACATCTATTATATTCTATTTGACTGATGCACCAATCCCCTAAAAGCTTTTTATACCACTGCTCTGTTAGCCAAGACTAACACGAAGGCTGTTATTAGCCTGTCCGTCTGACTCGAGCAAACCAGAGAGCTCTTATTTAATATTTGCATTAGGAGATGCCCTTTAAACAAAGGCACCTAGCGCACTCCCAGCTCAGGGCTTAAGATCCTAATGAACAGATAATTAGAGCAACACAAGGCAAGAGCAGCCTCAGCTGCCTTAGGACCACTGCATAAAAGAAAGTTCACATGAGAATTCATTTCACAGTATTCAGACTTTCTCCAAAAACTCCATATCCCCAAGGCATATGGTTACCCAAGAATCCCAATTTTCATTCCAAAACAGCCTTCCTAGCCTTTTTTAGAGAAAAGCTTGCATAGTATCTTCAGCTTCCAAAGCCAGAAGACAAATGAGAAATTAGATTCTTATCTTTTAATCTTACAATTTTGGGTGGGAGGGAACCTCACTTCAAACCTGAATGACTGGACTTGACAACACAGACTGAAGGCTTAAAGCACCCAGGTTCTTTTGAGACAATTTGCCATCACCAAACTCCTCTTTGAGATGTTTTATTAGGAGGATGTACACACAGGTTTTCAGTCTACTTATTTTGAATGGAAAGATTTATTTTAATAGGAACTAGGTTTATCAAAAGATGTATCAGCTCTTTGCAACAGGGGTATTTATTATCCCATCTAGCAAAATCCCAGGGCCTGAGTCTTGGAGTGACAATTGAAGTAAATCTCTCATTCTATCAATCCACATTTTTCTGAACTCAAATCAAGCTAAAGGTAGTGAGTTTTAATAGCAGTGCGACAGCAAATACATCAAAAGGTCCCCAAAGGTTTCAACAGCACAAATTTGGAATCAAAGCATTAATGAATATGAACCAAAGAATGATTTGGTTGTCTAATTTTAGGCTTTTCCACAGAGATTCAGTGAATGACACGAGCTTCTACACTAAGCCAGAAGCCTGTTAATATCCTCCTAAAAATGAGACATTGAAGCAGCGCTGCCTCCGCTGAAGAATTTGCGGCCTGAACACTATTGATCTTCCCATGGAAGAGTCAATAAATGAATCCTGCCGTAAGAAATAAGTTACAGGAATCCTATACCTTCAAAACACTAATTGGCTAAGGGCTCTCCCTCCTTCCTGCTATTACTAAAACATAGGTGTGGAAAAGCATACAGCTTGTGCTTTCCTATTTCAAAAATATAGGAAACTAGAACTATAGGCCCTAATATAACCTGTTTCCAGGGGTAAATCTCCACTCTGATGAAACCAGTCACTGTAGTCATGCATTGTTATAACCCTAGACTAAATTATAATTAGGCTAGAATCTTCCAGCCAGAAGTATCTCAATCTCCTACCTCCATCCAACGAAAACACTCCCAGCATAGTTGCTATAAGAGGGGTAGAGAAGATTTGAGATCACTCACTAACACACACTGCCCTGCAGATAAAAAGGTCAGCTATAGGGCATTGTATGCAAACTGTGTTAATTAAAGCGGTGCCATACATCTCAGCAAGGAAGAGGAAAGAACTTCATCCAGGCAAAAAACTAATTATGAAATAGGTCATGGAAACAAGGTCTGAAAAAGGC